GAGGAAAAAAAGGGGAAAACTAAGGAGAGAAGGAAAAGAAGCAAAGGATAATTTTCATTTACTAATTCAGAATAAACCATCTATTAAACAATACATACTATTTAGTTGGATTACTACCACTTTGCTCAAGGCAGTTACCACAATTATATATGATAACTACTAACAAAAAATCAAGTTCAATATTATCGTTTTTGCTGCACCTACATTAGGACCAAACTACTACTATTAGAATGGTCATAGTTCATACTTCTACTCATTATTCATGTTATATTACACAAGAAATTCATAGGATATTGTTCAGTTTGAATTTTATTTTTTAGCTGACACCATCGATGTGCCACTACATAACATTTCATATGTCAAGACAAAAAACATCATTTGGGTGAGTCATTGACATATAGTTGTAAAATTTTATCAAAATATTCATGGATGCTTATGTTTCTTAGTGATCCCCGTGTAAGATGTGAAAAACCTTAGGCAATAATGTTGATGATGAAAGAAAAAGAGGGAGGTAAATGCCTCTTCTTATTGATCTTGTACAGTTTCTAACCCCCAAAATCTCTCCCTAAGAACACCTTCTACCTTCCATTAATGTCAGTGTAATATATACAAATTGTTCTTAGCAATTCTTAGTACTTTATCTATCTTAATATTTCAACAATTTACAGCCTAGTCTGTTACTTTTTGTATCATATATTTGGTACCCTTTTTCTTTTTTTTAATTTCAGTCTAAGGAGATACTATGATATACTATTTGCTAAAATTTACTACTAAGGATCAAGATTTAAATAAACTTACTAATCAATTTTATGAGCTGAAATTATATCAATCCTCCTGCTTACTATAAATTCACATCGAAGTTGTGCTGTTTAAATTTTAAAATTAGAATTTCGCTTTCTCATCATGTATGATAACCTGACAATGATAGTAAACTAAATCCTTCACCACTTGATCCTTCACCACTTAATCCTCACCAGACTTCTCCAGCATTCAAGGACATTCCATGAGCAAGCAACAAGCAAGCAAACACTCACAGGGATTAATTCTCTCAATTCAAAAGTAACATTCCATGAGCACTTAGTAAGATCAAGAATTTTTAGCAGTAACCAACTAATATTGTAAAGCATACAAGATCTGGCTAATAAATAGGTATCTAGTTATGCGTTAAACTCAATTTAAGAAGCCAATATATGTAGCAAGACTAGAGTATAATCCCATGCTGATATAAAAGGAAGAAGCTGATCACGTTAAAACCTTTTCTATTTAAAGAAAAATATTGCAAGATCAACAACTATGCATTGATTGGAGTTGAAGCATAACAAATAGCTATTGTTTATACACATAATGTTTATTTATAACAGCACCAAATATAAAAGTACATTATATAAATAAAATATAATCATAGTTCACTTACAATCCAAGAAATGTGGTCCTTCAACTCCTTGATAACATTGGCATCTTTCGACTTTTTAATCAACTTTTGGAGCTTCTGTTCAGCAAAAACATTGTCAATAGACAGAATAGGAAACAAACAGACAAACATCTAAACAGACTAGTTCATTCAACAAGCAGAAAAATTCACCTCTTTCTCTTGAGGAAGTTCAACATCATACAAGAAATTGTATCTCTTCCTAAACCTAAAATAAGGGAAGAGGCGTAAGCACATAAATAAACATGCTAGTAAAAAGCTGCATATGCAAAAAACAAAAAGCAAAGGAAGCAACCTGTTACGAAGATGAATTAAATATTCAACAGTAATGTTGGACGCAGGTGCAATAAACACCAAAATAAAAAACCACCAACACCTACATGAGAGACCCAACTGTAGCAAATATTCTTCTTTTTCATGCATATATATTAGCATAGTTTTTCATGCATACATTGTCATAGTTTGCAACATGAAATCACATCAAAGACCAACATCTGCAATGAGTAAACAAATCAAGAAAAGCAGGAATTCTTTGTTTAGAGCAAAAGGTTTTGGCCAAAGTCTGCCAGATCTCTGTTAGTCCCTTGATGCAGAAACATCGAGAAATTTACTACAACTAACACCAAACATCATAAAATAGGCCTCTGGATTAACCATTATCAACAAATTTGATGGTCAATTGCATATATGGTTTACACCATAGTCAAAAAAGAAACACAAATCACATCCAACATAAAGAAAGAGGAACTCTAGATAGCAACTCGAATAAAAAAGAAAATTACCCTTCGGGATCAAGCTTTCCACATAATGATTCAAAGCGTGGATCCCGAACAACCTGAAAAAAGGACAGTCAAGAGCTAGAGTTAAGGAACAAATAAGAAATGTATAATATAGTTGCTGAGCAGACTGGTGAAGTAAAATCTAATGTTTAATATGCCAATTTTCCTCATTTTTCTTTCTTCTTTCGCTATAAGTATTGCAAAAAAAAAAAAAACTAAAGGTCTAAACAACTTCGCCCTTTCATGTACTATATTGGTAGTCACATTGGCTAGACTCCTTCCATCCATGTCAGAAGTCCAGAGGTCAAAGAGCAGGTTTGGGAAGCATGAAAAGTCAGTAGCCCCAGACTACACAACTGGGCCATTTAACTAATGAATTATCCCTCCCTCCAAAAAAAAAGGTGGAAAGCAAAAAAAGGAGCATCCCTTCCTCTGAAGTGCTCAACTAAACTACTCCATAGGGGTACAAGTATGTACAAAATGCAGGCAAGCACAGCCAAAAGTATGCATGCACCTGTTCTCATTGCTTACCTTTAAGGCCACATGATGAGGACAAGAATGGCATTTCTATATTTGTATTTGAATTTTAATTATTTCAGTTTTTAGTAGTCAATTTCGAATTTCGAATTTTGAATTTTAGTTTAGATTTGAATTTCAAATTAGGTTTAGATTTGGTAGTGATTGATTATGAGAAATTTCAAATTAGGTTTAGATTTGGTAGTGATTGATTATGAGAGATTTAAGTGATTATGAGAGATTTGTGGGATTTAGGAAATCTTCTAATTCTGTATTTTTTTCTCTTCTATTTAAACGCTCTTGTAATCAAAGCGAATTATTGAAATGAAAAAATGAAAAATTGAAATGAAATTGTGTTAGCTTATTTGGTGTGAAACCATGGGTGTGAAACCCTAAGCCTACACTGTTTCTTCTCTCTCTTTCCCCAGCCGTCAGATCTTCTCTATTCTCCTCCATGTAAAACAACTCAATCTACAAGCCCTAGTCGACGAGATCCCTCTCTCTCGTTCATCTCTCCCATAGACCAAGCTCTACTGTCAGAATCAAAACCCCACCAACAAAACCCCTCATCCTTCCCCTCCATCTGTCGTTCCTCCTCCACCTCTGACCGCCTGTAGAGATCACTGACCTCCACCACCCTACGTCAGCCGCCGCTCGGGTCTCGTCTCCCCAACAGCCATCGCCCGTGTCTCCCCTTCCCCAACAGTCGCCACCTGGCTCTCCTCTGCTCAGAGACAACCCAACAGATTCCCCTTGCTCACCCCTATCAGCCCACTAACACTTCGCCGTCGTCCACAGCTACCCCGACGACTGG